ACTACTAATAGTAAAACCAACAATGTGCCTTAACTCCCCTACTTTATAGACCGGCAAACCCATGAGTCCACAAAGTAGTGCAAATGGATTTGCTATTTAAACAAGGTGACACAAAACGTGAAAATTAGGGATGCGCTGGTCTGAAAATAGCAACAAATTGCACCAAACACGTCTTGCGCCTTATTGCGCTGGGTGTATGACAGGGCCCAAAGACAGGGTGGGTCATATAGTAGCTCCTCCCCCTTTAAAAAAAACAGCCAACAGCATTTGTTTTTATCACAACTCTGTTTGTGAGAGAGGTTGAGATGAAACACATCAAATGAAAATGAAGAGCAAATAGGAAGTGCCTTGTAGGGGGGGCGGGGCATGTCAGATGCTAGAGAGCATTTAATTGGTCAGAAGATTTGCTAAGAGACTGAGGTATGAAGTGATGTCAAAAAAATAGTATTTAGACATAAGTGACAAACTGCAAGCTGTTTATATCTTCTTAATGCGAATTTTGTCACTGTTTCATTGCAAACTTGATTAGATTAGGATACTGACACTAACATCTATAAAACTTGATTTTAATTTAAAGGGAGAGTTCACACCAAAAATGAACATTTGCTGTTTATGACTTTTTCTAGTGCATTAAATAAGTTCTTTAACTAAAACTGTGGTTCTTGGTAATTCTTACAATGCGAGTCAACAGCTACAGTATCAGCACTTTGAGAGTCCAAAAAACATATTTAAGCAAAACAAAATGAATACCTCTGGCTCCTAATGATACATTAAGATCCTCTCAAGTTAAACCATCAGCCTGTGCAAATAACTAAACATTATTTACATTACCTTTAATTTATAGCCTTGGCAAACAGTCCAGAGTGATGTACACTTCAGTTACTCCAACTGTAGCCCCTTTCACACAGTGATACTGGTAAATATCCTGAAAATGTCCGGAACGTCTTTACCGGTAGATTTAAAAAAAGTGCTGTTCGCACAGGCACAAATGTTACGGATTTTTTCCGGAAAAGACCGTTCACACATCCATTCCAAAATACCGGTAAATTCTGACATTATTAACCAGAAATGAGCTCTAAACGGCTGCACTTGTATTTGTAAACATTTGACAACATTACAAACTCTGTGGATGGAGAAGTATTGTGAACAACTTCGATGAAAACATTTAGAGAAACACTTTCACATGTCGAGATGTTCATAATATGTGTGTGTGCTGGCGCTCACCGGCTGCTTTATGTGCACATGCGTTAGAGCTTTAAGGTAAACAAACAACGGCTTATCATAAGCATTTTATTGATAATTATTTCCACAGTTTGTATTAAGAAGGAAGATAGAAGACGTGAACGTGCTCTTTCCGTCAATCTTTCTTCTCACACAGCGCAGCATTCTGGCAAATTACTGGTAATGTTACAACTTCTCTTTCCGGAAAATAGCCGGAACGAATTTACCAGAATTTTTAAAAAGGGCCTGTTCACACATACTGACCTTTCCGGAAAATTGCCCGTAATTTTCCGGAAAGGTCTGTATGTGTAAAAAGAGGCTAGTGACTGAAATGAGGAAACGGTTTAAAATTAGACTGAAAAATACTGCAGATGAGTCGTGGATAGCTGCATACGTTTACCAAATGGCGGAAATTATGTTTTTTATGGTCTCTCATCATGGTTTATTTTAAGAGGAGACTTGATGAAGATTAGTTTCTTCACTTAATGTGCTTCAAACCAGGAAATTTCACACTGGGTTGCAGTGGAGTGAATGGGGATCTGTGAAAATTAATCCAAGAGCTACTATTTATAGACATCTTTCACATTTTGCGATGGAGACGTTCACACATGTATGACCATTGTTATTTGCTTTAATAATCTAATTGCATGTTGTTGTTTTTTTTACCTCATTTGAAAAACAATCCGAAAAGCAGTTCATGCTAAAGAATCTGATTTCTCTGTTTGCCTAAACTGTTTTGCCTTAACTCCAAAAGAAATAATGCTCATAGGGCAAAGAGTTAACTTTTTATAGAACAAAAATGATTCATTTTATTTATTTAACATTTTTGCCTTAATGAGGAAAAAAGCTTCGTTATGGTTGTGACATCTCTGTTATGGATGTGACAGATGTGAAATTGACTTTGGTAAATCAAATATAATAGTTTGAAAGCACTGACATTTTTGAGTATTTTTACAGTCCTGTAAAATACAAGCATACACAAAAAAACTTAGTTTTGCTATTTTGGTAAAAACGTAATTTTTTTCATGGCAAGGTTGACCTTCTCGTGGAATTGCTCATTACTGTTATTTTTTAAATGTTATTTTAACAGTTAAAAATTCAATCTCTTGACTCTTAACAGTGAGAAATTTGAAACCTATGTGTAATAAAACATTAAACATTAAGATCATAATTGTATTGCACAAATTTGTTTTAAGTACAATATATCAACCTTTTATTTAAAATTAACTTTTGTTTACATGTTCTGTAATATATGGCTTTGTGGAAAAAAGTAGCTTTAATTAAACTACCTACTTTTAGGAAGTAACTTGTAAGTAAGCTAGGTGATTTTTTAGAAGTGTAGTTTGACAGTCGCTACTTTTCCTGATGAGTACCTTGTAGTAGGTTTAAGGCTGGGTTAATTCTGAACTGAACTGAACTTAAACACTAAAACCTGAACCACACTGTTCTAGTTACTATGACCATTTATGTGAAGCTGCTTTGACACAATCTACATTGTAAAAGCGCTATACAAATAAAGCTGAATTGAATTGAATAGTTTATCAAGCTACAATTTCAAAGTAAATTTGAAATTCAGAGTGCCATTTTGGTCTTATTTTATATTAGATGGCCTTAACTATTATTTACTCGCACCCCCCCAAAAATACAAAGTATGTATTGCAGAACATTTCTGGGCTGCGTCCGAAACCGCCTACCACTCAGTAGGTACTGCATTTGAATTCAAACGTACTACTTGGCCATTATGAAAATACGTTTTATACAGTATGAATGTGAAAAGTATGAATGGAATTCGGACGTACTACATCTGCCATTTTCTCATGGTCACGTGACGTACCTGCATGAGTTGTGTCGATTCACTACCATTTATGAATTCTCTATCGGAGCATCATGGTATAGTGCAGCATGCATGGGATGCGCACTTCAGAATCTCGCTGGAAGTAGTAAGTCATCCGGGTGCTTCTCACATAATGATTTTCGAAATTTATGAATTTGGACATACTACTCGGCTTGCATACTGATTTTAGCATAATGTAGTATAGAAGTATGCGGTTTTGGATGCATACTTGGTGTAATTAAGGGTAGGGTTAGGGACAGGTTTGGTTGTTTGGGTAGGTTTAAGGCTGGGTTAAGGTGTACACTCTGACTTGTGCTGCTTGTTCAAACTTATTTAACTAGAGTTAAAACAACACAATTCATAATTGTGTTTTTTTTTTTGGGGGGGGGGGACTTAATTGTTTTATGTTTAATCTACCTGAATTAGTAAAAATGATTACGTTAACTCAACATGTAGGAATTGTGTGGAACCCTGCGTTTTTTTACAGTGTAAGGCAGTGTTTCTCAACCACGTTCCTGGATGTCTAGCAGCTCTGCACGTTTTCAACTCATTAGCAGAGACTGAAAGACCTGCAGTGCAGACAAACAAAACATGCAGTGTTAGTGGTCCTCCAGGAACGTGGTTGAGAAACACTAGTGTAAGGGATGGACAACAGCGTAATTACAAAGGTAATTACAGAAATAAATTACAGGTGTAATTAAATGCAGGTATTTAATCAATCATAAGTACAAAGTAAAAACATGTATTTACACAAGGAGAACATTGTAACAAATGATTAATTTCAACGTAAGTTAATATTAGCAAAGGCCACCTAACCTAAAGTGGGACTACAATTTCTAACACTGGGGTGAGAGTATTAGCAGTTCATTTTTTTGAGTGCGCTTTGCGTGCACTTTAACAATACTAAAAAAAGGGCTGGGTTCCACAGAATTCCTTCATGTTGTCCTAACACAAGTTGATTAAAATAACTTAATTGTTCTTGCAAATGTAAGTGCATTAAACATAAAACAACCAAGTTGTTAGTTGTTAGAATTGTGATGTTTCAGCTCAGTTTAAATAAGTAATTTGTGAAAAAAAACTATCTTTTTTTGTGAAAAAAGTCAAGTTTTTTTCAGCAAAAACATTTATTGTGTTCAGCATTGTGTCTATTTTCATTTTGGGTCTTATGAAAGGTCTTATTCAGAGCACATGTGAACGCTGAGCTGTTTTCAAGCCCTGTAGAGTCATGGCGTATTCTTAGAACAAAGCCGCAGCTGCTCTTCAGACGAACCTAGAGAAGCTGCTTCTCTCATTAACGTCTCGCAACCACAAAATGCTACAATTGTATGTCTTTCGTCAAGCAGAACTGTGGAGATTTTCATCAAAATAACCGCATATGTCACGCAGAAAAACAAAATAATAATCTCAGGGGCGTCTAAAAGATCGAAAAGCACATCAGTGTTTCACATCAATATTTGGCAGAACAATATATTGAATAAATGTTACCTCATTGCTTGATTTAAGTAAGCAAACCGGAGATTTAGTATTGTCTGAAAGAACCAGACTGTTGCTTGCCCGAGGCTGTGGATTCAAAGTAAATAATCTTCAGTTTCTTCAGGATGGCAGAGGTGTTTCAAGGGATTTTGTGATGCCAAATGCTGGTATTAATTGATGATGTGCTCCAGCAGTTCTTGATTATTCTATTGGCTCTCGCTCTTCGTTAACTTAATAGGTTTGCCGAGTCATTATCACGTCAAGTGTAGTGTTAAAGTGCGTGAGGAGTTGGCCTGAGCTTAATTGATTAGCCTTTAGCATTTAGCAGGCTCTGGGTGGAGATTGATTGCTAGAATGTGTTAAAAGCGTAAAATCAATTAACGCCCTTTATGTGTAATGGCTGTAAGGGCTACTGTCGTGTCAGCATGCGTGCAGAGTTTTAATATGTCTGCATTTTTCTTCTTTCTTGCAGAGTGGACAAAACTTTCTCCAGGTCAAGGCATGTTTGGTAAGTCCTTTTTTTTGTTGTTGGTAGTTTACACAGCTATTGTTCAAGTGCTTAATGAGTGTGCAGTAATGTAAGCTTTATATTTCCTGAACAGAAACTGTCACTCAATAATAAACGCGAAACAGATTTAGGTACAGACACACAGGGGAAATAATAACTGCATTTATCACTGGTCAAATCTCTATACAAAGATGAGAATTACTACTTTCTATGAGATTAAGATCATCCAGGCAAATTATTGATACGTACTCCTGTATACATTTCTGGAGAGCGCAAAATAACTCCCAGGAGTTTTTTTTTGCGAATTCACCAGAGGCCGCTGTGTATGCTTTTTGAGATCTCAAATTTCTCTCACGTGTGCCATTCTTGCCTGCTCTTCTTGCATAAATCCACCAGAGGCTGCTGTCGACTGACTGACTGACTAATTGACTGACTGACACACCACCCATCCCTTCCCTAAACTCAAGGGATAGTGTTTTGATAATCACCGTTTGACCCGATCTACAGTACTTCCCTGAATGCAACCGCCAGTGCTTTCAAAAGCAGTCCATAATAAAATAAGCCCTCACGGCCACCTGATTTTTACCATGTTTTCAGATCTTACCACATTTTTACCCTGTTATTTACTTCTTTATTTTATTTTTTGCTTTTTGTTTTTGTCTTACCTGTTTTCTGGAACCCTTCTTTGCCGCACTTGAACCCTATCGAGGTCAACTCCTCTCTGCGTCTTAAGTCCTCTGACGTACCTGGTGAGCCACTGGGCAAACTGGTAACAGTGGAAAAGCCGTCTACACGGAGATAAGCAGTCAGCTGGTATCACGAAAGGAAACAAGCTGGTGGCGGCATAATACCACACTGTTACTTTCATTTTAAAGAAGAAATGCAGCCTTGCATAGCTCTGGGTCCATAATTTGCGCTCTCCAGAGAGGAGTACGTTTATAGTATATAGGGGTTTGTTTAAGCACGCTTTTATTTATTTTTAAAATAGGTGTAAGTTGGTTCTGTATAATTCAGTAAATTTGTTGTGTTTTCCTTCTGTTATTTTTTTTCTCAATCTAAATGTCCTTTTGTAAAAAAAAAAAAAAATACTTTTGCTGCTTATTCAATCAACTTATTTACTACTTGTGTTAACTTAATTGTTTTCTGTTTAATCCACTTAAATTTGTTTAAACAATGAAGTTTACTTGAAGTAATTGCGTAAAACCCAGCATTTTTACAGTCACATAAAAAACCTTGAGAGGCTTATTAAATTGCATATTAAAATAGCTTAATTTCAAAGACAATATTCTGAATATTTTCTTATTAGATTCTTAAAATCTATACTACAATCATGCAAATTAATTTATATTGCATAGATTTTTCTACTCAAATATATTCATCTTATTTTAAATTTATTTTTATATTTGAAACATATTATATGATATATTTGGATAAAATGTTTAAAGTTATATATATATATATATATATATATATATATAGTCAGAATTATTAGCCCCCCTTTGATTTTTTTTTCTTTTTTTAAATATTTCCTAAATGATGTTTAACAGAGAAAGGAAACTTTCACAGTATGTCTGATAATATTTTTTCTCCTGGAGAAAGTCTTATTTGTTTTATTTTGGCTAGAATAAAAGCAGTTTTTAATGTTTTAAAACACTATTTTAAGGTCAAAATTATTAGCCCCTTTAAGCCATATTTTTTTTTCGATAGTCTACAGAACAAACCATCACTATACAATAACTTGCCTAATTACCCTAACCTGCCTAGTTAACCTAATTAACCTAGTTAAGCCTTTAAATGTCACTTTAAGCTGTATAGAAGTGTCTTGAAAAATATCCAGTAAAATATTATTAACTGTCATCATGGCAAAGATAAAACAAATCAGTTAATAGAAATGAGTTATTAAAACTATTAATATATGGCCTTTGGGCAACGAAGTAGCACAGTAGGTCTCGACTGGGTCAGTTGGCGTTTCTGTGTGGAGTTTGCATGTTCTCCCTGCGTTCGCGTGGGTTTCCTTTGGGTGCTCCGGTTTCCCCCAAAGTCCAAAGACATGTGGTTCAGGTCAATTGGGTAGCCTAATTGTCCATAGTATATGAGTTTGGATGTTCCCCAGAGATGGGTTGCAGCTGGAAGCGCATCCACTGCATAAAACATGTGCTGGATAAGTTGGCGGTTCATTCCGCTGCGGCGACCCCAGATTAATAAAGGGACTAAGCCTAAAAGAAAATGAATGAATATACGATCTTTATAAATGAAAAAAAATATTCATTCATTCATTTTTCTTCAACTTAGTCCTTTATTTATCAGGGGTCACCACATCAGAATGAATGCCAACTATTTCAGCATACCTGTATGTTTTACGCAGCGGATGCCCTTGCAGCTGCAACCTAGTACTGGGAAACACCCATACACTCATTCACACACACTCATTTACTAAGGCCAATTTTGTTTATCCAATTCACCTATAGCGCATGTGTTTGAAAAAAAAAGAATATATACACACACACACACACACACACACACACACACACACACACACATATATATATATATATATATATATATATATATATATATATATATATATATATATATATATATATATACACACACACAAACACACACAGTTGAAGTCAGAATTATTAGCCCCCCTGAATTATTAACCCCTGTTTGCTTTTTTTCCCCAATTTTTGTTTCATGGAGAGCAGATTTTTAAAACACATTTCTATACATATATATATATATATATATATATATATATATATATATATATATATATATATATTTCTAATAACTGATTTGTTTGATCTTTGCCATGATGACAGTACATTATATTTGACTAGATATTTTTCAAGACACTTCTATACAGCTTAAAGTGACATTTAAAGGCTTAACTGGGTTAATTATGTTATGTAATTTTGTAATTATGTTATTACTGGGCAGGTTAGGGTAATTAGGCAAGTTATTGTATAATGATGGTTTGTTCTGTAGTTTATCAAAAAAATATATAGCTTAAAGGATCTAATAATTTGACCTTAAAATAGTGTTTTAACATTTTTTAAACTGCTTTTATTCTAGCTAAAATAAAACAAATAAGACTTTCTCCAGGAGAAAACATATTATCTGACATACTGTAAAAATTCCCTTGCTCTAATAAACATCAGTTGGGAAATATTTTTAAAAAATGAAACCCGAAATGAACCCGAAATGACTCAGGCTTCTCCCAAAAGATAACAAGACAATGTACAGGAGTCATCAGTCTGGAAAGAAAATATTTCTCTGATGTTATTTACATTTGAACAAAAACTTTAAGTCAGAATTTGCCAGGTTTATGAACAATTTTAATCTCGGCTATATATAAATAGCTTTTGTATCATATAATACTTTTCCAGATGGTACACATAGGAGTTTTAAACACAATGTTTATCATCACATCCCATGAGCGTAAAGGTCACCTCCATTTCTGTAATTGGCTTTGAGTGCTTGTGAAGGCAGAGGCTGAATCCAGTTACGCCACAAACACCAGCAAACTCTCAGCCTCAACTGCTGCTGGAAACTTTGTGTCTGCTTGACTGACAGCGTTATTACTACGGAGAGAGCTGGTTATGTGTAAAGCTGCTTTCTAATGGCTGTGAAGAGGCAGTGTCTGGAGAGAAGAGGAAAGTGAAGGCACAGGGCGAATGCTGGAATGTAATTACGGAGGGTCCTGGGTTTTACTCTGTGTATGATCTCAGATGTGCGGCGCGCTGCATGCTAATGCAACCAGAGACCCAAGAGAAACACAGCGCATAAAAAACTAGCTTTATACTCTTCTTCTCTCCTTTCTTTCTTTTTAGTGGGTTTTTCCTGTCTCTTTTCCTCTTTTTCTGTCTCATATACTTTGTCAATAAGTGTTTCGCTTTTGTTGGATAACGCATGAAGCTGTACATATTGAGAGCTTTCAACGGTATTCAGATAAATATAGTTTTCACATGCATTTAAAGACACAGAAGATGTTCCTGAATTGTAAAAGGACACTCATGTAAATATGTACAGTACTAAATGCACCGCTCCAGTTTCCCCTACAGTCCAAAGATATGTGGAATAGGTGAATTGAATAAGCTAAATTGGCCGTAGTGTATGTGTGTAAATGAGTGTGTATGCATGTTTCCCAATACTGGGTAGCAGCTGGAAGGGCATCCACTGTGTAAAACATATGCTGGATAAGTTGCTGGTCATATACATTCAATATACATCAATGGGTCACAAAACACCAAAACACATTTTTTTGAGATGTTGACAGTCATATATGTGTCCCACGTTGTTAAAACACTATTAGGAAACATATTTCACAAAAAAGTGAAAATTGGCTGTTTTGGCTGAGCAAATCCCATCTTCCGGTTGGAAAATAAACTTCTAAGCTACGTCACGGCGATTAGATCCTTGTGTAATTTTTAGTGTGGAGACTGGACTCACAGTGGACTCACGAGACAGAAATATGTTTGTAAGGAACATTTTTTTTTCAGCCAAGTGCTTTTTTCATCTGGAAATGGTGAAATACCACTTTGCCACTCGTCTCCTTTTAAAAAAGACTCTGTCCCAGTTGGTGTTGATTGTCCTGTCTCTAAAGATTTGGTAAGTGTGTGATCAATGTTTTTGTTTATGTTTACTCTGTGGCAAAGTTAGTTCGTATCAGCAGTATTCTTTCAGTTTTTAAAGACCTACCTTAGTCAAAATGATTTAGGGGCAGGCAGGCTTGAAATGTTCCTCAATGAAAGTGAAAGTGCCAAACTGCAGTCAACTAATAATTTTGGCAAAAAATTTAATTGCTGATGTCCATTTCACTGTCTTTTTCCTCTGCGTTTGTGAGCTGTTTTGGCTCTGTGAAAACCAGCGCATGCCCGAACTGAAACTCCCATTTTTATGCAAACCTCTCTTTTCCACCCCCGACACTCCCATCTAAACAGAGCTGGACTCACCTACTTTCCTGACTTTTTTTCAAAGTAGGTGTGAAAACATCC